AGAGAGAGAGAGAGAGAGAGAGAGAGAGAGAGAGAGAGAGAGAGAGAGAGAAGAGAGAAGAGAGAAGAGAAAAAGAGAAAAGAATGAATCATGTCATTTAAAAAAGAGTGGATGGAACTCTAGGACATCGTGCTAAGGGAAATGAGTCAGGTACATAAAAATAAATAATGCATGTTTTCTCTCATGTGTGGAAGCTGGGGCCAGGGGAGATGGCTCAGGAGGTAAAGGTGCTCATTAGGCAAACCTAATGACTTGAGTTTGTTTCCTATATCCCACTGTAGAAAGAGAAAAGGCAACACCTGAAAGTTGTCCTCCTTAGATATGCTATAGAATGCTATGGCATACTGAAGCATGCTGAGGCATATGGATGCCTATACTCACACAAACATCGTGCATATGAACACAAATAGTGATAATAATAATAATAATAATAAAATACTCTGAAAGTAGAAGTATTACTAGGGAAGAAGAAGGCATGGGGTGAGGAATAAGAGAGAGTACACACAATCTAAGCATCATATGTTCATGTAAGGAAATGTTATAAGTTCATACAATTGATATGCCATTAAAATAGAGGCCTGTACAGTGTTTGGCTAACTTGCCCTTTTGCTTTCTATCATCTGAAGACACAAGGCCCCTCCCTTCTAGAGGACATAGCCTTGAGGAACCATCTTGGAGGTAGACAGCAGCCCTCACTAGACAATCCCTCCCCCCCAGAACCTTGATCTTGGACTTCAGCCTTTCAGAATTGTTGAAAAATAAATTTTTGCTTTTTTTTTTTAAATTACCCAACCCGTGGTATACTGTTATAGCAGTGCACACAGACTAACTCACGTGTGAACACAGGGTAGAACATACACTTTCCTGGAATGGCTTTACTTCAGTTTCTGATTATTGAGGGGGTGAGACTGGGAAGTTAGACACTGTTCCTGGAGGCACTGACGTGAGGAAATACGTCCTTCCATTCTCCCGAAATTCTCCCGCAGCATTTTCAGCTGGCTCCTCAGACTTAGAAGCCTACACAAGAAAGCTAGGTGAAGTTCCTTCCGCTCAAGTCCCTGCACACCTGACCGAGCCAGGGCTGGGCTGTTAGTTAGCTCAGTGGTTCCCAGCCCTAGCTGCATCTCAGAATCACCTGAGGAGCTTCCCAAACTCTACCTCAGACCCGTTAAATCAGATCCTCTGGGGGTAGGACACAACACAGCTGCCTGAGTGGCTCCAGACTGCAGCCAAGGCTGAGAACTGCTGCGTGTGTGGGCTTCTTTTTAGCACAGGTGAGGCTGCAATGCCTGCTATGACTTTTCTTATCTCCATCCCAGTGAACTGGCTTTGATACTTCATTTCTATGGTAGACATTTTTTATGCATTTGTATCCTATTATTCTCATTTTCTTTTAGTGCTAGGATTTGAACCCAGGGCCTTCCGCATGCTAGGCAAGGACTCCCCCCTCCCCACTGAGCCATAAGTCACACCTTTGAACCCTGAGATTTGGGGTTACACAATTGATATGATTCAAATCCTTGTGCAGTGATGAACTAGCCATGAGTTCAGCACAACTGGCACTACTAATTTACATGTGACCTATAAAGGTGTCTCCAAACTGCCACTATTACATCCTGTTGAGTGGCGAACTGTTTCCTGCCTTGCTGGAATTCCTCAGCCACGCCAAGGTATTCTATATGCACTCGAGGTAAAGTTCTTTTCTGCTCTAGTGAGCACTTCTCTCTTTGGCATCAAGTTGGCATTCTGTTGTACATTTGACCTATTTGTCTCATATTTAAAGTCAGTTCTACCCATGGTATAGAATACCATTTATTGGTACCAATTTGCGATATATTTCTGGGAGACCAGGACATATAACCCAAGAAGATAAATAGTTTGAAAAATTTTTTAAGTGTGTATATGTATAAAAATATGGAAGTCATTAAGACCTTCAGAACAAAATTGTGTTTTGCATTGTCTATCTGCATTTTCTACTGAAAATATGAATCACTGATAGGCAGACTCCAGAATGGCCTCCGATGTTATCAAACCTCTTAGTATTCATGCTCTGGTGCCTTCCCTGTCCCTTGAGTATGGGTGGATTTAGTGACTTGATTTTAGAGAGCAGATTGCAGTAGAGTTGATGAGACACCCCTTCCCAATTAGTGATGTAAAATGACTATCTTTTGCTTTCTCATGTGCTTTGAGGAAAGCTCACTGCTATGATGTTATTTGCTCTATACGGTGTAGCTGGAGAGTTTCTCTCCAGGTCCCACCAAGTCCCAGCAGTCCCACAGCCCACTTATAAAATAATCACTCAGATGCTTATATTACTTATAAATTGTATGGCCATGGCAGGCTTCTTGCTTTCTGTTCTTATATCTTAAATTAACACATTTCTATTAATCTATAAGTTGCCATATGGCTTGTGGCTTACCAGTATCTTACATCATGCTTCTCCTCATGGCAGCTGGCAGCATCTCCTTGCCTCAGCCTTCCACTTCCCAGAATTCTCTTCCCTCTTTGTCTCACCTACACTTCCTGCCTGGCTACTGGCCAATCAGCATTTTATTTATCAACCAATAATCCACAGCAATATGGAAAACCTCACAGCAAGGAAGGAACTAGAGGATCTCTGACCACCAGAAGGAACTGAGATGTCCCAGTCCAATAGCTCAAAAAGAACTATATCTTGGGCTTACCCCAGATGGACTTCAGATGAGACCACAGCCCCAGCAGAGATCTTTGTTGCAGTCTTGTGGGACATCTCAACCCTAACAATGTCCACCTGATCCACAGAATCCAGGAGAGACTTGTTCGCAACGTCAAGCTGCTTAGATTTTGTTTAGTTTGCTATTCTGTGATAGAAACTAACCCACATACCTAGTGGTTTTTTAGAAATTACATTTTTAAAACTCCTAGGGACACACTTGTCAACACATTCAGCATTGACTTCTTAGGCCCCACTTCCCTTTCCTCTGCCAAGTCATTTCTTCCTGATGTTGCCTGAACTGCTCAGGTCCAAACACCTGGATTCTGAGCATTGATGAGCCACATACCACTCCCACTGTCTCTCTTGGCTTCAGTTTCTTTTCTTTTCTGAACAGGAGTTTGGATAAAACCACCAAGGACTTGCTCAGTCCCTATTTGCATCTGTCCCCTGCTCCTTGGAAAGACCTCTGTCTGTGCCTTGTCATGGGGGAGCACTTCATCTGTCTCCCTGCATTTATTCTCGTTTTCTCTGGTCCTCATTTCAGAAACAGGCTGCAAGATCATGACATTTGGAGGAGGAAAGATGGCTCAGTAGTGAAGATCACTGGCTGCTATTCCAAAGCATCTGAGCTTGATTCCCAGCAGCCACATTGTGGTACATAAATGTCTGCAACTCTAGTCCCAGGTCAATGACCAATGACCTCTTCTGGCTTCTATATTTACTATATGCACATGGTGATAAATAGACATATACAGGCAAAATGCCTATATGTATAGAAATGAAGGCCATGATGTTCATATTCTGGAGAAAGAAAATATGAGAAAAGAGGAGACATGGAGAAAAATATGATCAGAAACTCAGTATTCACACTTGGACTTGGCATCATCGGGTTAGGAAGCTACTCAGCCATTGGTCCACCTTCTTCAGCCAGTGCTACAATAGAAATAAGAATTTCACAACACACAGACGCACACACACAGGCGTGCGCGCATACGCATACACATACACACACACACACACACACACACACACACACACACACACACACACACACACACGCGCGCGAGGGATGGAAGGAGAGAGGGAGAGAGAGAGAGCTCCTGGAGACAAACTGGCCTGAAACTCTACAGTGTAGCTCAGCTTGGCCTTAAACTCACAAACCTCTGGCTCAGCCTCTCAGATCCTGAAATTACAGGCATTCACCACCAGGCCCAAAGAAGTAAGCACTGGTTTAAAACATAACTCCAAGCAAACAGCCACACCCTGTACCAAGTCTTTCCTAGAAGTTCTGGATCTGAAGAAGTTCTTGTCTGTACCTTGGGCTCTGAGAAAATGCAGCCCTGCTTAAGACAAAGGCTGAGACGAGCCTCTAAACTTCTTCAAATGCAGTCTTCAGAGACTCTCACCAGCCTAGCAGCCATAATGAGAAATTGGAATGATTCTTCAGGAGTCCAAACCCACTGAATGCGCTGGGAATGTGCTTCTGTAATCATTATTGGGGTTAGGCAGGCAGGGGGAAGAAATCAAATAAACATCTCCAGCTTCCATCCTGCATCCCTGGAAAAGCAACCTTGCCAGGAGCCTCGTCAGGGAGGACAAAAGGCTCAGGACTCCTCTATGGCCTGGATCAGAACCAGTCTGTTTTTCCCACTAGTGTGACCCAAGAAATTCCACTAAAAGCCTAAAATGCTGTACTGTGAGGGGGATTGAGCACTAAATGTTCGCACAGAGCTGCAGGAGCTGAGCAGATTGTAGGATCATAATAATCCTTGCAGGAAACATATTCCAGGCTAGACTCACATTTTGATCAAGCTCCTTGGATAGTCTGAAGCTAGACTTCAATAAATACTTAGCAAGACATCTACTCAGTTTCTGACTCCTCCTATAACAATCTTTTTGTTCTAGGAGAGGTTTTATTTCCATGAGAGGCTTCAATTACATGAACATGAATAGAGCAGTAATAATAATAGGTGGGCACTCCATGTACGTTTTAGCTTTTCACCAAAGTGGTGAAATACCTGGGAAAGATGACTTAAAGAAAGCTTTACTTCAGCATGGCTTCATAATTTTCAGCCCACTGTCTCTTGGCTTCATAACTGTAGGCTAGTGTTGAGGTGTGACATCATAGTTACCCACTCCATGGTAGCCAGGGAGCTGGGTGGAGGCAGGAGAGGGGAGACTTACTGACTGAGACTTGAAGGAGGAGGGACTGGGAAAGAGAAAAACAGAGGAGGAGAGAGGATAATCTGGGAAAAGTTATGCTTCCAAGTCAGGTCCCCAATGCCACCAGCCACCTCCCAATAATGTTGGTAGTTTCTATCACTTCCCAATAATATTTCCGGGTTATGATCCATTGATGGAGCAATCCACTGATAATGGTCCAGTATCTCTGAACATTGCACTGGGGACTGTTACAGTTGGAATGTAAAATGCCTCCCACAGGCTCAGGTATTTGAACAGCTGGGTTCCAGCTGTTGGTGATGTTTGGAAGAGTTGAGCCTTTAGGAAACGGGTCACTGAGACTGGCCTTGAGGCTCTGTGGTATAGACTCACTTCCTTGTATGCTCTGCTTCCCGAGTAGCTATGCAATGTGACTGGTCAGACTCCTGTTCCAACCCCATCTCCACTGACTGCTGCCATGGCTTCCCTACCATGACAGCAGCAGGTGATAGCTTACCATGACAGGCTATATTTCTCCGGAACTGTAACAGTAGCAGAAAGTAATTAAGATCGGGTCTAAGCCTTCAACACACTAGTCTTCAGGAGACAGTTCATATTCAAACTACGGCAGTGCAATATCTTGTTTAAATTGGAAACAGTGGGCAGCCATTTTAAATCTATGTGAAAGATGAGGAATGTGAAAGATCACAATATCAGGTCATTTGCAGGGACACAGGCAAGAGCCAGTAGACACAGAGTCAAGCACAGGACTGGGTGGCTCCAAGTTTGTGCCCCTTGTCATGTGCTAATGACAACATGGTTGGTGGGACTTTCCTAAACCCGAAGACGCACAGCACTTGTGCCGCCTCTCCTGGAAATCCCCTTGACCAATGAGGGTGGTTCCCAGGTAGGCTGATGACTTTTGGGAGTGTCACCCCACCCCCATCCCAACACCAAAAGATTCTCAAATGCATGGGTATGAGGTGAGACCAAGGTCTAAATTTGTGTGTGTGTGTGTATGTGTTTACGGGAGTACACAAGTGCATGGAAACCAGAGGTCCACATCTTCCTCAGTCCCTCTCCACCTTACATTTTTAAACAGGGGCTCTCACTGTGGTAGTTTGAATGTAATTAGCCCCCATAATCTCATAAGGAGTGGCACTATTAGGAGGTGACTTTGTTGGAGTGGGTATGATGGAAGGAAGTTGAAGGGAGCGTGTCACCTTGCAGGGGGCAGGCTTTGAGGTTTCTTATGCTCAGAATGCCCAGTGGGTCAGTCGACTTCCTGTTGCCTGCAAGATGTAGCACTCTCAGCTCCAGCACCAGCTAAGCTCCCTGTCAGGATGATAATGGACTGAAACGCTGAAACTGTAAGCAATCCATCCCAATTAAATGCTTTCTTTATAAGAGTTGTCATGGTATCTCTTCACAGCAATAGAAAACCTTAACTAAGACACCCACTGAATCTGAGGCTCACCTATTCATCTAGACTGGAAAGTAGCAAGCCTCAGGATGCTTCCAGCCTCTGCCTTACAAGAGGATTCCATGTAGCCACCACTGACCTGGGGACCAAACTCAAGTCACCATACTCACACAGCAAGTACTTCTCTCACTGGCTCATCTCTCCAGTCCCACAAATCTGAATTTTTAAACGAGGGTTCTGGTTGATTCTGACACAGACCAACCCATACTCATCTTTTGCAACAACTGGACTGAATGCCTTAACATTTCCTTCCAGAGTTAAGATTTTTTTTGGCAGAAATGAGTCACATTCCTTAGTTCTGGTGCCCTGGGAAACAGAGCCCCAGGCATCTGTGATCTAATGATCTTCCTGGGTCTTTGATGTCCTAAAGCTGGAGGATCCAGGAAGGGGACTTCTCAATGGACCTAGCTAGTCAACGCTCCTTCCCCTCAGTGAGTTCCCTGGAGGCCCCTGTTTCAGTCTCTGAGACTCCATATTTCAGAAACCCACCAAGCCCTTCCTTTCGGAATGGGCTGTTTTCATGAATGGCGTTCTTTGCCTGAATTCAAACTCCTTGAGCATCTTTTCACATCCTAAGTGGCCTCCATAGTCATCTCTGCCAACCTCTTTTTATTTCTACTTCACTCAACCTAACACTTCATCTTTCTCTGGCCTGCCGTATTGAAGCTTAAGACCTACAGTTCAGAGGAGGTGGAACATCTCCAGATCCAGCCACGGGTATGCGACATTTTCCCTAGAGCCTTTCTGTCCATTTTCTCTGGTTCACTCCTTGCCCTCAAAATGCTCTCTAACTCCTCAGAGTTTTCTTGAGGCTCTTTGTCTGGGTTCTCCTTCTGTATTGAACCATGTTCTTTATTCCAGATTTTTTTCTCTTCTCCCCATCCTTAGTTTTAACGTGTATTTGTCTTGTTTTCTGTACTATTAGTTTTCTTCTTGTTGTAACCAAGTACCTAACAGAAGCAACTTAAGGAAGAGAGGCACTTAGGGTCCATGGTTTCAGGGGACAGTCCATTATGGCAGGACAGGCATAGCAGGGCTCATGGTGACTGGAGAGGGCAGCTGGGGTGCCTCACATTTCAGCAGACAAGGAAAGAGAGGGGAGAACATGTGTACTCCTTTTTCTCTTTCGGTCACCCCAGATGTCAGCCCATAGATGTTGCTGTCCACATTCAAGGTGACCTTGCTTCCTAAGTCCAACATCTATGGAAATACCTCTCAAGAACATACAGAAGTGTGTCTTCTGGGTGATTTGACATTCGGTCAAGTTGACAGTGAAGAAACCATCACATCTTCCATCCCCTGAAAGTCTATTAAGTTGTCCTCAGTGGTGATGCTATCAGTGTGTAACAATCCCCCCCCCCAAGAGGCATATTCATCCTATTATGGAGCTTTCAGAGCTGCTGTTGCTCCAACAGTGACACTTGCAGATGAAAGCTCTTACACCAAGGGTAGGTTGGAGGTAGGAAATGTCATGAAAGAGGTAACACTTCATGGCAGAAGGAAATGACCAAACGGACACATGAAAAAATAGAAGCTGCATTCTCCACCTCTTACCTTGATGCCAAAGCTCCCCACTTCACAGAATCCAAGTTCATTCGTAATGTATTTATCATAATGACTTCAAGGACAATTGCACTCATTGAGAAAGTGCTTTGCAATGGAAAAAGACTTGCTCGGGTCTAAAATTGCCAACTTCTTACATGGCAACCATTTAGAAAGAAAAGAAGCTTGTTCTTCTATCCTCTCCGCCTCACTTTCTAGAAATGAAGCTTTTACTAGGATATTTACGTAATAAATACCAACACTAATATTTTTCACGTTGCTTTAAACTCTAACTCCAATGTTGAGTACTCGACCTGCAGAGTAGCAACTCTTGTGGCTGTCTTTTGCCAATGCTAGATACCCAAGTGTTTTTTCTGCATCACATCAATTCTTCCCAGTCTAGGGTAAATGTTTCCTATATCTGCAATTCAAACTATGGCTCTCTAGGGTAAATGTTTCCTATATCTGCTATTCAAACTATGGCTCTCTTCAGCTCCAGATTTCTATGGACTTCCAAGAAATACTCAAAAGAACATTAGCAGCATCCCTCCTTGAGGCTGGTGAGGGACCTCAGAGCTTCTTTCCTGAACCAGGTAACCTGAGGTCTTGGATGCAGATGCTTTCTTTGCTTCCCTGGGCTGTCTTCCTGCCTCTATTCTGATGTGGATGTGTCCTTCACAGCTGCCCCGGTGATGCTGGACAGTCTCTTCCCAGGAGAAAGGGTTCCTAGAAATCAGTTGTGTTGTCCTAAATCAGGATAAGAGTGAAAAGAAAAATGAGTACTTCTTTCTACAGCTACTTTGGAAATGTTTTTGGCTTTTCTTCTCCTCAGACAAGCTCCAATAAAAATTAGATTCTACATTCGAAAAGCTCCTTCCTGTTCCAGCTTGTTTGCTATAGCAAGCCTACGAGGAAGGCATTTAGAGGAAACTAGAATACTGGGAAGTGAAGAGATTTTTTTTTCCAGGTCTCACAATGCATTGAGCATCGAAACCAAGGAAGACAATGGACTGGCATGCATGGTAAATGGGAGCTCTGCTCATAGTAAGAAAACGTGATTTGGTTGATGATTCTTTATCAATAGAATTCCTCAGCTGAAGTGTCAATAGTGTGTAAAGGACATAATTTATTTTTGCCAACTGGGAGGAATTTGCAATAATACAAAAACTGTAGAAATACTATTCCTAGTGGTAATTTGCTCTCTGTGTGTACATATATGAATAAATAACTAATTGTTAAATGTATCAACCTCTGTGTAAGAATGTCTGTTTGCATAATATATGCTCATGTAAGTATTGGCTCTTATTGGCTGTTCATCTAGAATATTGCTTTCAGTTTGAACTGTGTAACCTGGTGTCTTGTTTCTTTGTTTGTTTATTTAAATGAATCTTATTTTCCCACAGTCCCAGTGTCTTAGTTAGGGTTCCTATTGCTGTGATAAAATGCCACAACCCAAAGCAATTTTTGGAGGAAAGCATTTATTTCATTGTACAGTTCCACATCACAGTCTACCATTGAAAAAGTCAGCGCAGGAACCTGAAGATAGGAACTAAAGCAGAGGTCATGGAGGAGTGCTGCCTTGCTCCTCATGGCTTGTTTGGTCTGCTTTATTATTGCACCCAGAACCATCAGTCCAGAGGTGGCACTTCCCACAGTGAGCTAGACCTTCAAAAATTAATCAAGAAAATGTGCCACAGGCTTGCCCACAGGTCAGAATGGTGGGGGGCGTTTTCTCAATTAAAGTTCCCTCTTCCAAAATGACTCCAGCTGGTGTCAAGTCAACATAAATCTAGCCAGCACATTCAGATTAAGAATTTTCCATGTTTTTCCAACCGGTTGTTTCAATGTTAAAAGGCTGTCAAAATCTTCAGCTGGATGTAGTTGTACCCACCTTGGAGGCAGGAGGAGAAGGGTCAGAGAGT